CCCTGTTCCGATGTGATTTTGGCTCTCTTAGAATTTTCAATTCACCAAAAGAAGGTTATTTTAGCAAATACAAGCATAAAGAACTAAACTGATGTTTCTCGAGGCATCCTAAGCCCAAAAAAATGCAAATATTAGATGAAACACCATTAAGAGTCTGTTTTCATCAGATCAGCCTTGATCTACAGCTCTAGTAACCACCACCTTAGAGAACTCACACTTATCAATGGCATAACGAGCTGTGGTAGGAAGAACAACAACCTGTAAGCTAGTTTTGGATGCTAAGACTGATTCAGCTAAGCTAAGCTTGTATTTCAATTAAATCAGATCAACAGAGAGCTTCCTGGGGATCTGAAACCTACAACATACTTCTGTGGGTACATCTGTGGGGAACAAGGGATCCAAAGGTGCAAACGCCACTGCCCCCTTCCCAAAGTCAGTTTAACGGAATTAAGGGGTCTAGAAGTGCATTAAAAGTTAACCTTGCCAAAACCGGTTTGGCTCAGTGGATAGAGCGTCGGCCTGCGGACTGAGGGGTCCCGGGTTCGATTCCGGTCAAGGGCATGTACCTGGGTTGCGGGCACATCCCCAGTAGGAGATGTGCAGGAGGCAACTGATCAATGTTTCTCTCTCATCGATATTTCTAATTCTCTTTCTCTCTCCTTTCCTCTCTGTAAAAAATCAATAAAATATATTTTAAAAAAATAGTTAACCTTTACAGTTTCAAAGTGCAAGGCAAGATTACCACAAAAGGTGTCGAAAGTGTGCACTTGATTAACTGGAAAGTGAATTCACTGAGCAGGCAAAAATTGCCCTAAGAACTAAAACAAGGAAGAAACCACATCAGAATGATCAGAAAAGGAAAGTTAACCTTTCCAGGCTACAGTTTATCTCAACAGAGAAGGTACCAGACTGAACTGACTGAGATTGCCTTCTGGGTCTAAAATCCACAAGTCCTGCATTTGAGTCTTGGAAAACACAGTGAGGTCAGCAGCAGGGACACCCCTATCCTGTCCTAGGCCACAGCCAGGTCTCCCCAGCAACTACCACAGTGATTCCCACCACAAATGGAGAGCTTTTCCTGTCTCACCAGGAAAACGAACCCTCCATTCAGGCCAATGATACCAGAAGACTATCAAATACCTTTCCACTAAGTAAATTATGATCAAACTAGAGGCCTGGTGCACAAAATTTGTGCACAGGTAGGGGGGTCTCTAGGCCTGGCTGGTGATCGGGGCATTCTGGCTGCCAGTCGGGGCCTTCTTTCCAGCTGCCAGCCAGGGCCTCCCTTCCCCAGCTGCTGGCTGCCGGCTGGGGCCTTCCTTTGTTCCGTGCCACCCCCTGGTGGTCAGCATACATCATAGGGAACAATCGAACTCCAGGTCTCCTGGTCAAACTACTGAGGGGATGCTTTGCATATTAGCCTTTTATGTATATAGATAAGACATTCTGCCAATTTCCTGACCTTGAAAGAAATATAATTTACTACCTTAATACTATGTTACACTGCATGATCCACTAATTTATTAATTAACTCAGGCCCCATGGAGCACTTTTACAAAACAAAACAAAAGCAACTTTTACTCCTGACGGATCAGCTACCCAGCAAGTTCCTACTTTCCATGGCATTTGTCATTCTGTGCATTCCCTAAGGCAAGGCCTCTCAACCTTGGAAGTGCTGACACAGGTGGAGGGTGGCCTGAGCACTTGACAAGGCTGAGCAGCTTGCCTGTCTGTCCCACTGAAGGACAGTAAGAAATGTCTGCAGACATTGCCAATGGCCCCCAGGAGAGAGGAGGCAAAATTGGGAGAGGAGGCAATCCATGACACATATAAATAAATGTGATTTCAATAGCAATGTAAGGTTTCCATATGGATTAAATGATTTGTTTAAAAATATTTTATTAGACCATATAAACAGGTATTTATTTCAGAAAATATCACTATGGGTGACCAAAGAAGCCAAATTATATTTCCTCCCCCCCTCAACTATTATGAGTTAGTTAGTACTCTATAAGGCAATAGATAAAGATAATGTACAGACTTGACAATCTCCTAGAAACAAGGAATTTGGGTTAGAAATCATTCTTAATCTTTCCCATCCCAGGATGCTAAAGTAAACATCAGATTCTACAACCTGCAGCCAAACCAACCAAGCATGTAAGGCAGACCTTGGTCTGGAAAAGAGGCCAAGGTGGACACCTTGTGACCCCTGGGTGCCACCCAACCCACCCACAGTCCACCTCCCACGACCACAGGCAAGCTGCCCAAGGATCACTTTGCCATCAGTGATGAAAACAGACCCCATTCCAGGAAGAACAAGGAGGCCAGGGAGAGTGGAAAGGTGTGATGGAAGTCTGTGCCATAGAAATGTGTTAGGCAAATGTCCTTGGGGTTCTTCGGGGTCACTCTGCTTAATGTGGGGGTGGGCAGAGAAGAAGACTCAGTGGTCACCAGTTAAACAAGAGGAGTAATTCTCCAGGGAGATCCGAGAGACTGAGGAATAGTGCCACAGGATTTTTACAAACTGGTTGTAAAAATTGTTTCTTAAAATCATAGAAAAGGACATTTTTCATTTTTGTGGCGATGAAAGCTATTTTGTATCTTTTTTTAGGTGTTAGTGTGAATGCGTGGAAGTCACCACCACTATATATTTAGGCCCGAAGCAAATGGCTACCTCCACCCACCCTAAGAGCTGGGAGACCATCTGTACACCCTCTTTCTTTCACGGAGGAAGACCAATAGGTGTCCTACCAAAAAGGTGAGGACACAGATGGTTGCCAAGGCGACCTAGAGACCCAGGCAGCTGGCCCCTGCCATGGGGCCACGATGACCACCCAGCATAGAACTCCCATCAGCAGCCCGCCCCAAAGCAGGCTCAGCGGAAAAGGCCATCTCTGGATTTGAGAGCCACCCACCCGAGAGCCCTCCACGCGCAGGACACTCTGCAGCTGCTCAGTCTGCTCAGTGTCTTTGATTCCACCTCATCTGGCTGGCACCACCCACCCCCTTTCCCGGGAAAGAGCACACACAGAGAACTGGCTGTGCCCGGTTCCTACAGGTGGGCGGATGGCTGGCAAAGAACAAACCACATGGAGGACCACGGAGTCCAACCTGCCTGGGACCAGCCAAGCTAAATGTTAACCAGGGCATAGAATCATTTACATTAAAGATCATTAACCAGGGCCCAGGCCCCTTGGCAAGGGATGGGAGTTCACAGGCTTAAAAAAAAATGCAGTTAGATAAAACAGCAACCTCTTGTTGCCAAACACACAGTCTGGGGCATTTTGGGAGAGGGCACCACAATGGCACAGAGGGAGGAGCAGAGCCAAATGGGTGTCTTCAGGGGTCAGGGCAGGGGGTGGGGTCTTCTTTTCTTCCCCAGCTGCAGTTAATTCTCCAGGGTTTGTTTTCTATTCTTCCTTAGCGCTTGGGAGGTGTAACTGTCACCTCACATGTGAGTGAGTTTACAGGTAAGGAATTGTAAACATGGAAAGGTTGGCAGAGTTCGTATCTCAGACTGTCCATGGGTCAGCGGAATCCCCACCTTGAAGGTGATGGTGTAGACTCCAGTTTCAAGTCACATGCACAGGGAGGA